GCCCGAAAGCATTTTTCCACAGGCGCTCATCCAGCCGCGGAGACACCTTTTGACATCGCTGCGGCGAGCGTGTCTGCGCGCGGCGATGCTCAGTGTGTATGGTCACATGAGAGCTCCATCTCATCATCCTACTTTCCTCTCGAACTGCGCCGCGCGATTTCTCACGAAAGTGGTCTGCGCAAGCTGCATTGTTCCAGGCTGCTGCGCGCAAGTTGCTCTCTGCAAGCTGCTGCGCGCAAGTGCTCTGTGCAAGTTGCTCTGCGCAAGTGCTCTGAGCAAGTTGCTCTGCGCAAGTGCTCTGCGCCAGTTGCTCCGCGCAAGCGCTTTGCGCATGTGCTCTGCGCAAGTTGGTCTGTGCAAGTTGCTCTGCGCCTGCTCTGTGCAAGTTGCTCTGCGCAAGTGCTCTGCAAGTTGCTCTGCGCAAGGCTCTGCGCCAGTTGCTCCGTGCAAGCGCTTTGCGCATGTGCTCTGTGCAAGTTGGTCTGTGCAAGTTGCTCTGCGCAAGTGCTTTGTGCAATTGCTCTGTGCAAGTTGCTCTGCGCAAGTTGCTCTGCGCAAGTGACTCTGCGCAAGTTGCTCTGCGCAAGTGCTGCCGGAGCTGCGGGGGTGTGCTCCGCGTACTACGTTTGTACTTAAAAGTTGCGATTTTCCAGCCGGAGCTGCGGGAGCACGCTCCGCATACTACGTCTGTACTTAAAAGTCTGATTTTCCGCGATTTTCCGGAGCTGCAGGAGCACGCTCCGCGTACTACGTTTGTACTTAAAAGTTGCGATTTTCAAGCCGGAGCTGCGGGGGTGTGCTCCGCGTACTACGTTTGTACTTAAAAGTTGCGATTTTCCAGCCTGAGCTGCGGGAGCACGCTCCGCACACTACGTCTGTACTTAAAAGTTACGATTGAGCTGCAGGAGCACGCTCCGCGTACTACGTTTGTACTTAAAAGCTGCGATTTTCAAGCCGGAGCTGCCGCGGACCAGGGGGGAATCGAACCCGCGACCGCGGGATTGCGAAAGCAGGCGCGCAAACCACGAGACAACTTCCAAAGGCCGCTTCGCGAGCAAGAATATTGCACGGCGCCACAGCGAGAGCGCTTCGACACGCACAATCTCCGCAGAGGGTTCGCCGAGACTAAGACAAATTCGCAACAGCGAGAGCGCTTCGACGCGCACGATCTCCGCAGAGGGTCGCGCGCGCACCTCAGTTTTTGAACCTCGACCACGCGAATCTCCGCAGAGGGTCGCGCGCGCACCGCAGAAATCGTAAAAAGTCCTCAGTTTTTGAACCTCGACCACGCGAATCTCCGCAGAGGGTCGCGCGCGCATGCAGAAATCGTAAAAAGTCCTCAGTTTTTGAACCTCGACCACGCGAATCTCCGCAGAGGGTCGCGCGCGCATGCAGAAATCGTAAAAAGTCCTCAGTTTTTGAACCTCGACCACGCGAATCTCCGCAGACGGTCGCGCGCGCACCGCAGAAATCGTAAAAAGTCCTCAGTTGTTGAACCTCGACCACGCGAATCTCCGCAGAGGGTCGCGCGCGCACCGCAGAAATCGTAAAAAGTCCACAGTTTTTGCACCTCGACCACGCGAATCTCCGCAGAGGGTCGCGCGCGCATGCTAAAAATCGTAAAAAGTCCTCAGTTTTTGAACCTCGACCACGCGAATCTCCGCAGAGGGTCGCAATCCCGAGCGACGATCAAACTCCCGCCCCGGCGCCTTAGAAACCTAAACTAACTTACATAGCTGCTAACGCCGAAGCTCTAAGCTCTACCTAACCTTGGCTCTATGTAACTTGGCTCTATGTAACTTGGCTCTATGTAACTTGGCTCTATGTAACTTGGCTCTATGTAACTTGGCTCTATGTAACTTGGCTCTATGTAACTTGGCTCTATGTAACTTGGCTCTATGTAACTTGGCTCTATGTAACTTGGCTCTATGTAACTTGGCTCTATGTAACTTGGCTCTATGTAACTTGGCTCTATGTAACTTGGCTCTATGTAACTTGGCTCTATGTAACTTGGCTCTATGTAACTTGGCTCTATGTAACTTGGCTCTATGTAACTTGGCTCTATTGGCTCTATGTAACTTGGCTCTATGTAACTTGGCTCTATGTAACTTGGCTCTATGTAACTTGGCTCTATGTAACTTGGCTCTATGTAACTTGGCTCCATGTAACTTGGCTCTATGTAACTTGGCTCTATGTAACTTGTCCAAGGGCTCCGCACGGAAGAACCCTTCGCGATGCTTTCGGGAATTGGCAGTCAGCAGCCTCCCGAAAACATCCTCTGAGCCGCGTTGCGTTTGCTCAGAGGCTTGCCTGTCTCAAGTGATCTCAGGTGACAAAACAATCATGTTGTCATGTCGCATTAGCCACTTAATCTCAACGGCGCAACACGGTGCTTACAGATGGGTGGTTCGCTTCAGTTTGTTAGAGGTTCTGATGCGAATAACCAAAGAAACCAAATGCATCAGTGATGATACTCAGACATCCTTTACAACCAATCTCTTCCACGTACTTCGCTTGAAAACGCCTTCACTTCGAAACATGCGACACCAACAGCCTCTCCTTCTCCGGAAGGGATGAAACTTCTGCTTCAAGCTCCTTCCGCTTCTGGGAGACCTGGTCATTAGGTGCTGCGGCCTCTGCCATGGCTGAGGTGCCAGGAATGCGACACGACGATGGCTTGTGCAGTACATGTACCTGTGCATGGAGGCAGTACGTTGTAGTACATTTATCCATAGTTGGAGCATGTAGACCGGGACGGCTTGCTCGTTTGCCAAGTGACCACTTGATCCTCAAGCTATGTCAGACCGAGGACACATTCTTTGATGTCCATGACGACTTTGATACCAATAAGGCATTCTTTACTGGGCTGCCCTCAGATCCCCCGCTAAAAGTTTAACTTTTAGTGGGGTAAATGGAAACTACCACCAAACACTAAAAGGCTAAAAAGCCAAGGAACCGGATGGCTGGGAGCCACCAAGTTTAATATCGTTGACAGCATGGATGATGTTGATGAGAAGTTGGGTCATGTCCATGATCACATCCCCGGCTGCAGTCAAAACACTAAAATTACCCCGGTTACCCGCTCGGCTTAGTGGGCAATTTGGCTTGCGACCATTGGGTACGAGCTGAAGTGGCTCCCAAATGTGTGGTATGCCAACAAAAACGAGACTATAGTCCAATCACACCTTGTTGGCGAGGTGGATTTCCAAGGGAGGGAGGGTCAACCTTTGGGTAGATTTCAAGAGAAGAGGGATGCAGCCACCACACCGTGGAAAGTTGAGAAGAACAGCGCTTGAATATACCTGCTAGATTGATGAATGACAGTGTCAACCCATTCCCATGGACCTTTTTGACTGTATTGGAATTCTACCCATGTTAAACCCATTCGAACTGCCTCGTGAACACACATGCGCAACCAAGTACGCCTTCAATCACAACGGCCAGGGCGTCTGAGATCTATTGGCTGGCGCCGAAATCGTAAACCCTTGAAATCTATTGTTGTCCAAAATGGGTAGCCAAAACGGCTTGCCCTGGAGAATGGAAAGGCCTAAAACCTGCTTTGTCCATGTGGCAAACCCCACCGCTCATTTCCCTCGCCTTCCAGATATTCTGGGCATCCGGCGCTCGCGCTCGCGCCTTCTGGTGGGGCTTTCCCTGCCTGCGGTCAGGAGGCATTGCGAAAGCCGAAGGCTGGGGCTGAAGACATTTTGCTAAAAGGAAAAGGAAAAAAAAAAAAACAGCTCGCCAAAACCCTTTGGCATTTCTGCAGCATGCTCTTTTGCAGCCCAAAACCCGTTTGGTCTAAGGCTCCCAAGGTCTGGAGGCTCTGGACTTTGATTCTCTTCGGCTGCCTCTGCGGCTGGTCTTTGAGCCATGTTGTGCTTGACACACCGTTGCTGAAAAAGCACCCCCCGCATTACTCGCGCTGTTTGCTAGTTTTGCTGACTTGCCTGGTATCCCCTACAACACCTGCATCCTGGCATCGCCAGCATCTCCAGCATGCCCAACATCTCCAGCATGCCCAGCATCTCCAATTGGTATCAGGTGATGCTGGTGGTGTTGGCTTGCGAGTGTGCCTTAGATTGCAGAAACATGGAGGTATACGGACTCTCTTGCGCTCAAAGTCTGGTGATGCTGCAAAACCTGCATTTTTGTTTGATGATGATGCACTCTTGCTTTGGCTGCAAACATCTCTCAGAATATGTGTCGGGCAAAGCATATCTGCTACCGTGGCTTCCATGACCACCAAAAATACCTGGAAGGAATATTCCTGAGAAATGTGTGATCACATATTGAACAAAAAAAGCCTTGGAATGTTTGTGAGGAATGGTGGGTGATAAATGCACAGAGCTTCAGCGGTGGCAAAAGCAAACTTGACAGGATATACAGTGTATGAACATCTCAATGTATGTGCATGTATATACATATGCATACGTATACATATAAAGGCACATACATATGCATATATATATATATATACGCATGTGTTTGAACGTCTTTCCTGACTAGACTCAATTTAAATTATAACTAGGATACTACTTGGAAAGGAACTCCTGTTCCAAATCTAACTCAAAATAAGACTTCCAAATGATTTCTAGATCCTACTTAAACTTAAAGCCTTGCAATTCCAAACCTACACACCCATAGAACTGATGTAGCATTTTCCTGAAGTGTCCATTGGTTTTCCACGACTCTAAGGGGCAGGCAAATCAGACGAAGCAGCCGATCTATTAGTATATGTCACATCTACACACCCCTGCAACCAAGTGCTTCACATCCCTTTCAAAGTGGCCCCAGTACGCACTGTCAGCACCGCCGGCCTTCCGTGTCGCACGGCGACACTGGTGACACTGGTGACACCTGCGGGAGGCTCGGGCGCAAGCCACGTGTGCCATGGTCAAAACTCCAGTCACGGTCAAATGGTCTAAAATCCTTGCAGGAATCATCAGCATCCCTATCAACCCCAAGTAGTTGGGTCGTTTGACCACGGCCACTGTATATTCAACAACGTGTCAAAATACCCGCAATGCACGTCGTTTAGGTTCAGTGAGGCGTTTAAAAAGGCCTTTCAAAACCAAATAGAATAGGGAACTCCGACCGGGGATTTTTCCGCTTTGCTTGGTTTTCCTTGCAACCATCCTGAAAGACTACAACAGAAACCCTCCAAGAAAGAAGCAAACGCAAACCCAAAAAGCGGCTCTTCGAGTCCCGCTGGCCTCTGTCGGAAGGTTTCGGGAAGGCGAGCTCCTCGGAAAACACCCGAGCCCGGAAAAAACCGGGGGGGGGGGGGGGGGGAATATATATATATATATATATATATATATACATATATATATATATGTATATATACATGTATGTGTTTATATATATTTAAAAAAAAGCATGTTGGAGCCATGGGGTTTTTGTCTCATGAGGGCAATCAAAACAAAAACTGCAGGGGTGCTCATAGTAGTTTGTACAGCTCCGAATTCCTGGCCGAGCCCGAGCCAGGGCAAAACAACAGACCCAGTTCCTGAGACAACTGACCCATCACCTCCCAATCCTCCTGCAAATCAGATTCTTTCACCCTCCCCTATCAACTGTCTGAAGAACTAAGGATGAATCCACCACCTAAACCCACCTCTTTTTAGCTGAGTCATAATCAAACCCAGTATCAAAATGGCCATGCTTCAAGAATTCAGAAGGCGGATATCCGCAGCTATTTATGGTTGGGATTGTCCCTTACTAGCCTTCATCTACCCGAACCGGTGTTGAGGACGTGGCTCAGCTGGGGCAGCAGGAAAACCCGCCAGAAACAATGTTTTTTTGGTTTTGTTGGGGGGGAGGGGGGGGTGCTTCTGGCGACAGGGGAGGGTGGGGGGTTGGGAGTGGGACAGAACATGCCCCCAGCCCTTTGCTCTGGGCCCCCCGGCCCCGAGATCGGGGAGCACTCGTCCGGCACCTGCGCCTGGGGCAGATGTCTCGAGGTCTTTGCTGGCGAGACCAAAAAATAGATGTAGCCTCAAGAAAAGGTGGAGTTTGGTGGAGTTTGGTGGAGTTTGGTGGAGTTTGGTGGAGTTTGGTGGAGTTTGGTGGAGTTTGGTGGAGTTTGGTGGAGTTTGGTGGAGTTTGGTGGAGTTTGGTGGAGTTTGGTGGAGTTTGGTGGAGTTTGGTGGAATTGGTGGAGTTTGGTGGAAAGCTTGTTGGATGTATAAGGGATGTTCACAGTGGGCACCTCCAAACACAAAGAAAAAAACATGGTGCGTTTCCCCGGCATCCCACAAGGACAGGTGGAAAGGTGGAGCCTCAAGAAACACGCACCCCACTTGGAGGTCCCCAAAAATGGATGAGGAGACGCATAGATCAATCGAGGGCTATATGAATCCACGGGGTATGATGATGGACCTTTTGGTGGATATGGTTCTTTGTTGCTGGCGAGACCCCCAGAGGGTTTCTGCAGAGGGTTGCGCCTGAGTTGTTTCTTTTTGCAGCAGTACAACTCTTCCCGCACAGCCTTCACTTGGTTGCTGCAAGGACCCCTCTTCAAAAAGTTCTTCAACTTGTTTGGGGGTTGAGTTCGGAAAACCCAACTTGATTTCAACCAAAAAGTTGAAGTCTAAAGATCCGTCGCCCAATAGCAGTCAAATTGCACTCCGTGCGTTTGAGTGCGCAGCCAAAAGGAAACCGCCCACCCAAAATGGGGGGGGGATCTGCGGGGGGGTTTTCCCTGATTTTGAGACGCGCCCCAAATGCTGGGAACCTGCCAACTGGTGCATTTTTTGGCGGACGAATCAAAGACATGAGAATCCAACATAGGAGTTTCTCTTCAAATGGAAAGGGCCAACACCCTTGATCCAGGGCTATGCCAAAAAAAAAGAGAGATCACCCCCGAGCCAAGAAGACCCCTGTTTAAAGCCCTCACCCGAAAATGAAAAAAAAAAAAAAACACCTGCAGCCACCCCCCAACACTTCTATGCCGTTCAACAGCTGGATCTGAAAGGCCGAAAGTCGCCCCTTCAGTGCCGGTTGGCCAAACTGAAGCACCTAAACCTTCTGAAAACAGGCGGCATGAAAATTCCGAGCCCAAAGACATGAACCCCCGCACCCTTCGTGCAGTTGACTGGTTCACTGGGTGTGAGACGCCCGTCCGCAAAAAAACACGTGCGGCCTCCCTTCAAACGACATCCAACATATGTGCCACAGTGGCCTTTTCGGGCCGCATGCCCCGCACAAAGTGGTCTCCCAACATCGCGCAGGCCCACCTCAACTCCAGATTCCTCGACCTGCCGCTGGGGGAGAAAAGACACACCGCGGCGGTGGTCGCCCCCAAACTTGGCGGCAACTCCTCGCTTGCGCAAATCACCCAAAGAGGACCAGGACACAAAGACCCATTGCCAGGAAGCCTTGCTCAGAGACCTGCAGTCCTTTTTGTGGATTTCTGGTATCAACGGCCCCCGAGAGATCTCCGATGTTGTTTTTTTGCAGAAAAGGCAAACGTCAACGGGTTGCCTGGGTTGCCTGGGCACCCAAACCCCTATCAGGCTCCAAGTTAGACTGGCAACTTGAACTGAGCTGGAGCTTGTTGCTGTGTCCAGACAGCCCCCTTTTCCATCCAGCGAACTTTGCAAGTGCCTGGGCAAGTGGATGGGCCGTCGCCAACTAGTCAACAACAGCTGGGACAAACTGAATGTTGGTTTTGCAGCAAATATCACAAAGAAATGGGGATGAATTGTAATGGGGGACCCTTTGGAGGACACCATTTAGTTGGGAATTTATTTCCACCAGCCGCTTTTGAGGTGGATCCGTATACAGTAAACAATTCACAGCAAAAATATCAATGAAAGGCCCCCACTGAGAGCCGCACTCCCTGGCCGCCTCCGTACCCGCTGCAACACCCCCACCGCGCCTCCACCTCCAGTTGCGCCGAAGCCGCAGATGGAGACGTGTCTTCCTCATCCTCCACCTCCTGACGGGAAACTCTGACCAGGTGTCGAAATCGGTGCCTCTTGCGGCCGAGCGCATGAGAGTTCTGACTACCATCTCGAGGTCAAAAAGGAGACAGAGACCTGGGCGCTTCTCAGCCGCAACCCTGCAGTCCGGCAGCGCCATACTTTCTGGGGAAAATCCAAGGGCGGGAGTTTTGGCCTTCGCAACTCGACCATGAGGTGCTCCACACACGTTAGCCGGCGGCCTCCGAAATCAGCGAGCCTCGCAGGAGTATCAGACTCGAGGAAAGCTTCCGCGCAGCTACATGAGACCATGAGCAAAATTCATTCATCTTCTCCCACGGAACCCCGGATCCTTCTTGGTGCCTCAGTTCTGGAGCCCCAGAAATGGTGAGAGTTGTTCACTGTGCTTTTTGCATGAATCAACTACAAAGGGGGGTCCAACTCCAATCTCTTTGGAACCGATGCAAACCGGGGCCTTTTGCATAGCTCTGGAACTTAGTTGGTTCGCCTGGCGTCGCTGCCCAAAATAGTTCCCAACTCGCCAACTTGCCCCAAGACACCGAGTTTCAGCCATGTCCTTCTAGTGAAATAGAGGGGTTGTCCCTGGCAAATGGGCCACAAGCCCAACCTAAACCAGTGCGAATCCATACCAAGCCAACCTTCAACAGGACACCTGAGTCACAATCAAAACCTGGTACAAACATGGTGAACCCAGAACCACGCCAAGAATTCGAAAGGCGGATATCCGCAACTATTTGCGGCTGGGACTGCCCCTAACCTTCATCTACCCGAACCGGTCTTGAGGGCGTGGCTCACCTTTGGCTTCAGCGAAGAAGGGACCAATTCGGCAGGTCCTGCATGCGCATCTTCTCCTGCACCTGCACCTGCATGACGCTTTGCGGAAATCTGCCATCTGATCAAACCAATTTTTGGGTGGTCAAAATTAAACCACCGCCATTTAAAGCCCCCCCCTTTCGGTGGCCAAAAGGGTGCTCGAGCAATGCTCGCCTATCAGTTTTGTGTGTGTGGGCGTGTTGCTTGTGTTTGTGTTTGCACGTTGTGACTTTTGTGCTTGCGTTGGCTCCCTTTCTTTCGCAAGCCCACCAAAAGTGGACTCCATCCCGAACTTGGGAGGGGGGAGGTCGCCCAAGCATTCGCGAAAAGAACCTCTGCCATCCAAATCCCGAACTCCAGAGCCCCCCTTGTGCTGCAGATCTCTCCTTTCAGCTTTGGGTCTTCAAACCCCCCCAGAAAACACGGCCATGGACATTCTATCGACGTCGGTCGAAACTCAGACCGTCGGAATCCCAGAGGGGCATCGGATCAACGCGCTGGCGCTGTCCAAAGTCCGGCGGCGACGAGCGGCTCGTTTTTTCCTGAGACGTGAGATGGGACCCGAAGAAAACAAACACCAGCGATGCAACCCGCCCACAAAACGGACATTGGAGGTCGAGAGGGTTCCGACTGAGGTCCCCCAAGATGTGTTTTTTTTTTTTTTTTTATGATTATTAATATTAATGTTTTTCGGGGATCCTATTTTGGGGGAACCCCTCGTCTTTGGGGAGGTTTTTTTTTCGGGGATCCTATTTTTGGGTGGACATTTCTTGGCTTTGGGGAGATTTTTTTTCGGGGATCCTATTTTGGGGGAACCCCTTGGCTTTGGGGAGATTTGTTTTCGGGGATCCTATTTTGGGGGAACCCCTTGGCTTTGGGGAGGTTTTTTTTCGGGGATCCTATTTTTGGGTGGACATTTCTTGGCTTTGGGGATCCTATTTTGGGGGAACCCCTTGGCTTTGGGGAGATGTCTTTTCGGGGATCCTATTTTGGGGGAACCCCTCGTCTTTGGGGAGGTTTTTTTTTTCGGGGATCCTATTTTTGGGTGGACATTTCTTGGCTTTGGGGAGATTTTTTTTCGGGGATCCTATTTTGGGGGAACCCCTTGGCTTTGGGGAGATGTCTTTTCGGGGATCCTATTTTGGGGGAACCCCTTGGCTTTGGGGAGGTTTTTTTTCGGGGATCCTATTTTTGGGTGGACATTTCTTGGCTTTGGGGATCCTATTTTGGGGGAACCCCTTGGCTTTGGGGATGTTTTTTCGGGGATCCTATTTTGGGGGAACCCCTTGGCTTTGGGAAGAATTTTTTTCGGGGATCCTATTTTTGGGGAACCCCTTGTCTTTGGGGAGATTTTTTTTCGGGGATCCTATTTTTGGGTGGACATTTCTTGGCTTTGGGGAGATGTTTTTTCGGGGATCCTATTTTTGGGTGGAAATGTCTTGGCTGTGGGGGAGGTTTGCTTCTTGGTTTGCCTTGCTTCAGGTTTCCCTTGACACCCCGCAACCCCCCACCCTGCACCCCATCGCCTTCAGCTCGGAGACCCTGGACCGCTTTACGGAGATCTCCTCCTAGCGGCATCCGCGCAAAACGTTGGGGTGAGACGCACCGGAGAAACTCGGCACGCGCTCTGGTTGGGCCAGAAGGAGGCCAAAAGGAGTTTTGAAAAGCAAAGACCCAAAAGGAGAAGAAAGAAAAACAAGCTCCATGTGGCCTCCGAACCTTGGGAGGCCCCAAAAACGGGGGCATGGATGCTCGGGGAGTCAGAGCCGCGTTCTCCCGTATGTGCGCACGCGCACGTGCAGATCAGCCGATCAGCTCCTCCAACCTCGTGAGGGTCGCGCGCGCCTCAGTGCGAAGGGAAAAAGGGCACGACTTCTCGATTTTTTTGCGCCTGCCTGCTGGTTGGCTCTACCAGTTGAGTGATTCTACGGGTTTGTGCTGGCTGGCATCTAAGCTTGATCTCATTCGGGACAAGACTTCTTCATCACATCCATTCCGCTTGCAGGATACCTCTACTCAAAGGGGTCCTCGGCGACTCAAACAACAAGCCCAAACACCCGAAACACAGCCCAAACCAGCAACACGCAAAGAAAAATGGGGGGTTTGACCATCGGACTGTCAATTCTCTGGGCCTCACCTATCTTGGGGTATCTCTGGCTTGGCTGAACCCCTGCACTCTTTTTCTGCTGGCCACTCCGCTCACTTTTGAGTTGCGGCCACACACCGCAGGTGTTTTCACCGGCAACGAGCCCAACCCTTTCAAAGATATCAAACCGTAAAGCAGACTAACATGACAAACATCTGCCTCACATTTGTGTTGTTTGGGTGGGGAGGGCTCTTAGCAAGTATGGCCCAAGGGCTCTGGTGAAACCTTTGACTTCCCGCGCTCCGAGTCTATCCGGCGGATCCTTCTGATCCGAAACAGCTCGCGCTCGGCTCGGAGACCACTTGTCCTTGCGGATCCTCGCGGAAGCGCCCGGCGCCGCGGCGCCACGGCGGTCAGTGGATGGCCTGAGTCAGGCGCAAATGGAGGGAAGGTGAGCTACAAGGAATGCCACTTCAACCGGCCTTTTTGCAATGAGCTAATTTCATCTGGCGACTTCAAGCAACTGCCCGGTATCAAAGGCACAGGTAAGTATAGATCCCCGAAAAAGACCGTAGAATGCAGATGTCCTTTGGATTCCATTCGAAAGCCCCAAAGAAAGGTAGCCTCCAACGACGGGCCACAACTTCCAAGGGTCTCCCCGCACCCGCCCCATTTCTCATCCGTGACCCCGACGGATGTCGGCAGGAGGTGCCTGGCCGAGGCAAAACGTGGCAAGCACGTCTGGCCCCAAAGGGCCAGGTCTGGAGGGTACCCTTTGGGGTCGAAAGGTTTCAATGACTGAGACTGGGGTTACGCGGCCTTTTGGGGGAGAGGGAGGGAAGGGGAGGGAGCCCAAAGCCGTTCAGCCCTCAATATCCCCTCCCTCCCCAGCCATGAGTCTTTCTTTTTCACCAAATCGAGTCAGGGTCAAAGCAATCATTTCGCCGGGCTTTCGCAGGGAAACTCATAGGTTGCAACCCCAACACACCAAATCTTCAGAGGTCAAATGTGAACCCAGCTTGGCCAATGCAGAGGGAGTTCTCCAAAAAGCTCCGAATGGGTGGCAGCTGAACAAATTCAAACATATACGTATACGCGTCGTTCTTTTTGGGGAATTGGATCCCCTAAAAATAGATGTCGTGTCTCCGCTCCGTTGCCTTTGCAAACCAAAAGGGGGCGACCCTCAAAAAAAAGAGTTTTTGACGCGCACCTATGACGAAGAACCCGGAGGGTCCTGCTCCACACCCCATCCAGGCGGGATTTCCGTTAGCTTCCCCTTACTTCAGATCCTCCCAAGTCGGACGAAGGCAAGGCCTCTGAAAGGGGCCGTTGGACATACCACGGGCTTTTCAGACTCCAAAGCGGTTAGCCCCCGGTGAACATCCGATTCAAACCCCAACCACTACCATAGGTTCGAAAATGGGTGGTGAATTCACCTACCCCAAAATGGGATCCTGTTGGTTCTGAGCCACAGCCATATCGGTGGGCCTCTCACGTCTGGAGGGATACTGCGGTGGGCCGGAATCCCGCCATCCCAAACTCGGCCGCGAAACTGGGGCTGACCCCAGTTCCGATCGTCCGAACGTGAGAGTTCTCCAAAAAGGGAAACCGACTCCAAGGGTCTTTGTCTTTCATCGTCTGACTTCTTGAATCAAAACAATATCTCAAAAAGAGAGAGAGAGAGAGAGAAAAAGAAAAAGAAAAAGAAGTGCGGTGATTTGGCTTCAAAACAACCACAAGATGCCACATGCCACAAGAAGGCCTTGAGACTGCGTTGAAACATCCTCACTGCCTCCCTGACGCGGCATCTACCTTTGTCTCATTGGACGACCCCAAACATAGTTTTTCCCTTTCACCCCACCCCAAAAGGAGTACCTGTTTCAAAAGTTGGACCCCTTTGTATCCAGGTTCCTTCCATTTTATCCTTAACCCAACCCAAGATACCAACCCAAAGGAGCAAACATAGTTTTCCCTTTGCCCCAAAAGGGGTACCTTTTTTAAAAGTTGAACCTCTATGCCTGTTCCTTCCATTATCCCAACTCAAGATACACGCACCAACCCAGCCACAGAGCCACAGCCCACCTGTCGATTCAGCTCAGCTCAGGGGGCGCCGGCATGCGGTGGAAGGGCCCGCGCATGACATCGCCTCGCCATGCCGGTTAGATGCCTCTCGCTCCTAAGCCACTGGGCCAGTGGCCAAACACCGAAAGCCCAATGAAAGGGCCAGGAGCCATGGAAAATTCCGAGTTCCCAAGTTGCCATGGCCAAAACGGGAGAGCCGCGTGCCAGCCCCATCTTCCCCACCGAACCGAACCTGGCACCAGCTCCACCTCTGGCTCCGCTGCAGCGGGCAAGCCTTGCGACCAGCGCTCGCTGTCGGTTTGTGGATGAGTTGGTCTAGGGTCGCTCGTGGATGCCGCATGTGGGGGATTCGCTAAAGGAAATAGGCCCAGCAAATATCCCCAACAGACTCTCGGGAACTCCCCGAAACCCTCGGGAAGCTTCCCTGAAAGCTGCCCCGAACCACTCCGGAGCTTGTTTGGGCAGAGACCCCAAAGCTTCTGGCGGTTAGGGGAAAAACACACACAAAGGACCCAAACCCCAAACACTCCGAGACTCCGAGATCTTGGGGTCTCTGGAGACGGAAATTTACCGAGCGGTTTGTGGCAGTTGTCAATGGTAAGGTTTTTAGAGGGGAGTCGTTCAAATGATCCTTAACAAATTGATTTCGGATCCGTGTGCTTCGCCATGTTGGGGGAAGGAACAACTTGAATGAAGAATCCCATTGTGTCTGCGTATATATCTTAAGGGTACCTTTCTCTAGACTGGTGAAAAGGGAAACCAAAAAGAAACCAGTCGCATGAGGGAAGCCAGCGCCTCGCGCCTCGTGCACCGCGCCGACATCTTGGACGGAGCACCATGCAAATGATGCAGCCTGAACGACCCGACATGCGTACAATTCTAGGGGCACCTTCCATTTCCATTCTTTCCAGGGATCCGAATCTTTCTGGAAAACCTCCGGAAACCCCGGTTGAAAACGGATCCGGCTTTTGCAAAGCTTGGAAGGCATGGAAAAGGAAGCCACCCCTAGAACGGTTCCCCTTTTGGCTTTCGCTCCGAAGCCAAATCGAACCGGAAACCTTCCCCAAGCTTCGGGGCCCGAGATCGACGAGCAGAAGCTCCTTCCACGGAAGTCGTTTCCAGAAGAGAGATGCGGCAGCTTGACGCAGTGGGCGAAAGAAATGAAACAGGTGCATGTGTATATATATATATATATATATGTATATCTATGTATATCTATATGTATATATATATATATATGTATATCTATATGTATATATATATATGTATATATACATAGATATATATGTATATCTATATGTATATATATATATATACATATGTAATGAACGGCAATCATTCAAGGCCTCTTAAACCGCCTGAACAAACTCCGATCCTGGCTTAAAAGCCTTTGCCAGCCTGTCGCAAAAAAGCGCGGAACCTCGCCAGTCACTGCCTAGCTCGCTCTGTTCAAGCCCACGGTTACGTCTCACCGGAAGAAGAAGAACAAAACAAACTAACTCTCTCAACAAACAAGCAATCAAGCATACCAAACAAACCAAGCAACATAAACAGACCGAACGAACCAAACAAGCGTACACCCACAAAAATAAACAGAGCAGACAAACAAAACTCAAAAAAAGGCAAGCCAAACAACCAAGTCGCCCGAAAACGCAAAGCGAGCAAACACACGCACAAATGCAGCCCGGACAAAAAAGCAAAGAACAAACTCAAACTTCAATTCAAAATGAAAAACAAAAACTCACAGGCATCCCAAAAAACAACAACCAAAGCCCAAAGGATTCCACAGGAATGGTCCCTCGAAAGAGCCTGCCACTGCCAGCGCTAGCGGCCGCAGCAGCGCCAACTGCTCCAGGGCGGCTTTGGCGCCGGCGGAGCCGTTTGCCTGAAGAAGAAGCGACGGGAAGCGAGCAACAAGAAAAGGGCGTGTTTTAGTGTAGGGTCGACATGATACCCTGAAAAAAGAGAGTATTTAAAGTAGGGAGTACCTTCCATGTCCATTCTTTTCAGGGATCCGAATCTCTTCAGAAAAACCTCCAGGAAACCCCCAGAAGAAACAGCGATCCGGTTTTTGAAAAGAAGGATGGGTGAAAAGAATGGTTGGAAAGAAACAAATCTAGAGGTGTGTCTTCAAATTGGTGGCAAAATGCACAAAGCAAACATAGAAATATATGGGTGTGTCTTAAAATGGGTGGCTGCACAAAATCAAATGTATGGATATATGATATATGGGCGTGTCTTAAAATAGGGGACCCGCCCAACAAAAAATAATAAATACAATAAAAGGTAGTTCCCCTTGTTAAGACCAATAGGTGTGTTGTGTCCCTTAAAATAGGCGTCTCTTAAAATACGGAACCAATAGGCTTTCCTTTTGGGCTCCCCTTTAAAACCAACCAAACAAATACCGTACCGCGCCTCTAAAAAGACACACCCACCTACATTCGCAGATTTCAACCAGGAACTGGGGCCACAATGCGATGCGCCAACTGGTTTGTTCACTCGTTTCAGGAACGCCTGAGATGATTTCGGGTTACTTCCCCTGGAGAGCGATGGCGACCCTTCCCGCAAAAGGTGAGCGATGGCCACAGCTTGAGAGGTGGGACGAACGAGCGTGCGAAAGCCTAGAAAAAGAGAACGGGGAGGCAGGAAGCCAACGTGTTTTGGATACAACCCTCTC